TTTGTTTTTCAGACCTTCATCCTTGCCTTAACGTCCACTGTCCATCGTTCGGAGTCTGCAACGCATATAGTGCTCATGGAACACGCTGTGTGTGTTTCGAAGACTGTCCCACCTATCAAGACCCAGTGTGCACTGCGAACGGAACAACATACGACAACAAATGCTGGCACGAGCTGAGCTACTGCAAGGGGCTGGACAATAACCTTGTGTATCACCTGGGAAGCTGTGAAGGTTAGTAAGAGACAACCTACAACGAAGAATTCTCCGTAGAGGCCTCGTTGTGCTGGGGTGAGTGAATACGAGAGTGCGCTGTCTCACTTAAATGTTTTAACTGACTTCTGTTCTTGAAAAATAGCGAGCGCGTCTCTGGAGAAAAGAGAAAAGACAGAGACGTGTTGCAAACACTGAAACAAACAAAAACGAAAACTAAGTATAATTATTAGAAGGTGAGACTTTGGTTATCTGGGCTAGAGCTACTGCACGAGCTCTTGTAAATTGCTTTTCTTTTTAACAGGTTTCCCAGTAGTTCGTGGCAGTGTGGACCTCCTTCGAGTCTCAAAATGGACAGATTCAACCTGCAAGACAGTGGATCTTCCGCGCTACCGCTTCTACCCGGATAAACAAGTTCATGTTCAAGTTTCTGTCAATCATATGAAATTGAATGACTCCGTCACCGTTCACGATGCTGTAACGTCATGGACTGAAGGGGTTAACACTCAAAATTTTACAGTTTGCGTCATGCAGACAGGAAGGAACAGCGGCGAGAGCCTTAATCCCTTCGCGACTGTTGATTGGCTGGCTTACCAAGGAGCACCACCCGAGGGAATGACTGGAACTATTAAAATGCAGAAATGGTGGTCTGGGACAAAATGTGCACACGTAGCTTTCCCCAAGGTAGGAGGGCAGATAAATTATTAAACTAGAAATACGTGTTTCGCAGAATCTCTCGGGGGAGGCCAAAAAATGTCAGGGATGGGAAGGCGGGAGAGAAATGGAGTAAATAGTGTTACTGGGGAGGGTGGGTTTCAGCACTGGCTCAAATATAGGAAGGTGAGATGTACTTAATCTCCTTTTGGTTGGAGTAAATTTGGACCCAGTGCTCTGGCTTTAATGTGGTCAGTTTCTCAATTCTCAACATGCATGGGTTTGTTGAGACATGGTTGCTAGAACGCGTAGCACCCTCTTGCGCGCCCGTTCTTTCTTGCGCCCACTACTTCCAAGCGCCTGCAACGCAGGCTGCATGGTTGCCAAAGCCATAGTTTTCGAAATTCCCAGACTGACAGTCAAATGTCCAGTTTCCCTGACCAGAGGACGGGACTTGTCTAGATAATGGCTTCCAAACTCCCATCACAGCCATCCTCTCCGCCCATTTATGACATTTATTACATGAATTTATCATGAATGTAAAGTGCAGAATGTATTGATCTTATAGGAAACCCTATATCTGCTTGTCGTTTAATTTCTTTCAACAAAATTCTGCCAATGGAATATAATTAACGTCTGTGAATGTCGCTCCCTCTGACTCATTTGAAAGAGTTAAATTGTCCCTGACTCATACTGAATTTACCTGATTTGTTAAATTGTCCCTCAGAGGGAAAGGAATGAAGTTTCCTGGCATGGCAACCATGTCACACGCTAATATTCTGAGGAGATCCGAAATACAGATGCTCTTTTAAAAATATATTAATAGGATCAGGCCAGAAATAATAAATTTTTGTTATGTTTGACTTAAAAGACACAGCTGTGTTGATGTATAAGGCTTCTACATGCTGTACATATATATTACATTTTACTTGGGATGGTTTTGGGGAAGTAAATGTAATGAAAATTGTAAACGGTACACGCGCTTCGAGCGCGACGGGTTTATAAACTCGCTTCGCTCGCGGCCTTCCGCCGCTCGCTCCGCGAGAATAAATACTTTTATTATATAAACACCAATGAAATACAAGGTGAGCTTTCAAGCGAAAACTTGATATCTTCACGTGTGAAAATAACATGTTATCTTCACATGTGAAAATATCACCGTTGCTATGGCTACATAATAGATCGCGCCTTTCACACCAAAAAAGTATTAAAGTGAAATGGTTTGGTAGTTCATTGGTGTTTATATAATAAATAAAACATTACATGTGGACACTTGGAGATACGAAATTTCTCTTCTCGTGTTGAAAAAATATTTGACGAGTGAGCGCAGCGAACGAGTGAAATATTTTTCAACACTCGAAGAGAAATTTCGTATCTCCAAGCGGCCATGTAATATCCTCTATTTATTATACTACAGTCAGCGAATCTAACTTACAAAGCTTGTCTAAAAGACTTATTTGATCACTGAATTAAGGCAAATGCTTGCGGCAGTCAAATAGTATAGTTCTAACGGTGACTGTGTTCTTTTGCCCAACGGTGAAAGAACTAATACAGTATGTTGCCCAGTATCCGGACGGTACCAGTATCCGGACACTTGAAACAAAAACTCAATTTTTGGGGCGCCCTTTTCAGTTCTCGGTAAACGAAGTATTTCGAATGAAAGCTGAACATTTCAGCTTTAAGATGAAAGTTTTGGCGATTTGAAAGCTTGCGAAACAGTCGCAGAAGACGCCGTTTTGTTCAGGTGAATAAACTTTTCATGGCTAATATTTACGCTGTTTACTGCGCAGTAAAGTTAATGCTGCTCAGAAAAGGGAGGGTAGTGTGTGATATTTTCAAAGAAACTGTTTTATTTTTAAAGTGAAGATACTTAAGGAAGNACAGAATCGATGAATTAGCTGTGTACATTCTCCGGATAAGATTTATTTCATATCAGTAACTATAACTAAAGCTTAGGATATATGATATAGTCGTAAAATGTAACTCTACTCAACTCCGTATGGAAATTTTCTTCACTCATTCAGAGGCGACTTGATTTCGTGTGCTCCGCTTGTTTCGCGTGACTGCATTTTATATGAACTGAAAGCGTCCGAGTTGAACCTGAAATTCTCATACTTTCCCCAGTTGGGACTGATAGAATGGGGTTGCAATGGTCTAAAAAGTGTCACAAAGGGATTGAGAGATGTGAAAGAAGGAGGAATTAGTGCTAGAAAAGCAGGCTTATTGTGGGGACTGAGCATGAAGAAATCAACACTGCAGGTCAGACTAAATAGGAGAGTGACCTTTGACCGTCGGGTTGAGGTCCCTTCCCCAAGCTTTTCTTTAAATAAAAAATGTAAAAAGAAAGTCGTTTGCAGATTGGCTAATCGAGCTTGCAAACTGCGGCTTCGGCATGTCCACGGATGCCTTCCTTAAATCAGTAGAAAAGTTCCTAGACAAAGAAGAAGAATACCATTTTTAAAACAGCCGCTCGCGTTCCCCACCATACCCCAGTCGTTTGTTATGTTTTATTTCACGATGCTAGGTTATATTTTCGGAATCGATTGCCAGACTACTTTGCAAGTGCAAGAGAAGCTTGTAAGTCGCTTGCCTGTCGAAATTTATGTACAATTACGTTATTATTGTTGTGTCCGGATACTGGGCCAGCTGTCCGGATTCTGGGCAACAAAGGAGCTCTGCAAAAATATTAATTTCGCGATGGAAACAAAGGCAAAAAAGTTAAACTGTCTTTCGTCATATTAAGGACTAGATAGATTTTCTCTGGGCCAAATTTCAGAGCTCTTGCGATTAACAAAGGAAAGTTATTGCAATTTTAAACTGAAGTGTCCGGATACTGGGCAACATACTGTATGCAAGGAGGCTTAAGTAAGCGTTAACTTGAGAACCATGCCGTATTACCGAGGATCGAGAATATTGAGAACCCCAGGTTGCGAAGTTAAAGGTGAAGTGTTAAAAATAAAGGCAATTGACACTAGTTACGAGACTGTTTCGCTTCAATTAATAACTATGAATAGAGTCGTTTGATGTTGTTAACTTCAGTTAACTGATGCAATAAAAATGAAAGCATAAAAAGCAGCATGTGTAATTTAAGGCGGCACATTTCTAATCACTTCGTCCTTAAACTTACGCAGAACAAGTTTAAAGAGACGCCTGTAGTTCTCGTGACCGCGGAACACCTGAGGACTGGAAAGGAGTATGATGCATCCCTAATATGGACAGAAGACCCAAATAAGGACTCATTTAAAGTCTGTCTTCGTGAAATGCAAAACTTTGACGGGAAACATGAGGACATTAACGTGGTACGTACTCTTTTACAGTTTAAAGTTTTACAGTTATCCCAACTATATGCAGACGTATTTTATGGACCCATGTTGGTTGACTAGAGCATAAAATGGATTTTGGAATGAAACAGAGGTTCAAGGTAATTTGGAGGAAGGCTATATTGACAAGCAGCAGATAGGATAAGTATATCAAAAAGGCAAAACCGCAGAAATTTTCATTTTATGTCCCCCTAATAAGCCATATAAAAATATACCTTTTAAAATGTCTGGTTTGCTGAAAAAAAAAAGGAATTCTGGACGCACAACCAGTGTTAAACCAATGAAGAGCAAACACGGGATGATTTGTAACGACGATTTTTTGCGCAACACTGCTTTGCAACATTGTTTCAAATTGTGACATTGTCCTAACATTGCTGCCCTCAGCTTCGTTGTTGCTAATCGGCATCTCGTGTAACAGCCTTAACAACACGGAAATAACGCATAAGCAGTTTATCAGAATGCGAAATATAAAGACAAAAAACTAGTGCCAAGTTTTTTTTGCTTTATTCGTCCTAGTATATGTGACACAGTACATACAACACAAAAAGGGTAACATTCAAAACCTGTTGCTGTCGTATTTCTTTTTAACAAATTTTGTTACAGAGCTGGTTGGCGTTTGTCCAGTTAAGCAAACCGTTCTTTACCGAGTACGACTCTGTCGGATTTCCAAACACAAAGCCACCAAAAGATGAAAAGAACAACGCTTACTGCCAGGTGAGTAAGGAGTAAGATTACTTTTAATTAAAAGAAAAAAAACGACTGTTTCGACATAGTTTATTGATTAAACTGGGCTCTTACCTATAACTGTTAACAAGTTTGCTTTAATTGACAGTTTGTGAAGTTTGAAAGAAGCTACAAGACAACACCCTCAGTGTTACTTACAGCCAATCACAGCAGCACGGCTCCTGGAAACTCCGCACCAGTGCATAATGGAATTACAACATGGATCGAGGTAAAAATAGTGTGTTAGGCTCGAGGGAAGGAAAAGGGGAGGGTGCCAGTCTTGCATAAGTGACTGCCTCGACAGGAAAATGACAGATCATGTTTCATGCTTATGCGTATGTACATGCGACGTATCTACATTTAAATGGGCAGACCCGTCGGTTCACGGTTTGGGCAGATGGTAAGCAAAAATTCAGGGGTGGTAAATTTCTTCCCGGAATGGCGTTTATCATTTGCACAAATCAGTTTCATTTTCCGAAAACTGACCGCGCAAGCCTGAAACTGGTATCAAAGATGACTTTGAAGAAATGGAACACGAATTCCTGTTTTTAATCCCGACCTGGAAAAAAGAAAGAAATGCCTCTTCAGACGTCGTTTTCCATTTTATACTTTCCAACCGGATTTTCCGGAAACTTTTTGTACATGGTAACCACCCCAGTTCTACACAACCAAATGAGATTTTTTTATTGTTGGCTGCAATTCTTACTTGCAGAACATGAACGTATCCGGGTTCAGGACGTGTTTGAAGGAGTTGTATGAGACAAGATATGATCCCGTGGCAGTGAGTTATGCAGTATTTACAGGTCAGTAGATAAGGAGTGAAAAAGTAACTGACCTGATCTACAGTGTATGGCTAGTTCAGCCCAGCAAGATATCACTTTATTTGCAGTTCCGGATCCAGACCGCGAGATAAGGGTGGACCCGGTCTCCAAAAATTTTTTTTTCGGCTCTTCGGGCCTCAGTTTGGTCTAAAAATAAGAGGGGGGTTGGGAGGGGGGGGGGCTTTACAAGCTGTTAACCAAAAGAGGCCGTTGTGACAGTCCGATTAATTTTCTAGTAAGATATTGTTAGTCTGGCATATAACAAGAGCGCTAGCCTATAAAAATAAGCTAAAAGCCGCATTCGCCCAGTGTCCCCTATGCTTAACTAAATGCGACCGTTGTTGCGTTCGTTGTTGCGTCCTCAGTAAGTCAGACACACAACTTCACATTTCCATAGATATCTGTGATCCTGGCTGGAGCTATTTCAATGGATTCTGTTATTTGACGAGTGAAAAATGCGTTAACTGGACAACAGCTCTCACTAAATGTCGTCAGGTAAACGCTGTCCTTATTGATGTGGCCAACGACGAGGAAAACGTTTACATTCAACGTCGTCACAATGGAGACAAATCCTGGCTGGGCTTGAATGACATCTCCACGGAGGGGAACTTCACTTGGGCAGATCGCGGTGAGGGGAATTTTACAGCTTGGGCGAAGACTCAGCCAAATAATTTTAATGAAGAAGACTGTGTGCACACCCTTGGCCTGAGATACAACTATGAATGGAACGACGTGAAATGCAGTGATTGTCATCAGTACACTTGTAAGAAAGGGTAGGATTTACATTAGGGCTATTTATACCAGGGAAAATAAGACGCGTCTTAAATAAGACGCGAACTGTAACGTATACGAGCATGTGAAGGAAGTATATAAGACGCGAACAGCTTATTTCTGGTCCCGCAATCGTTTTCGTGGGAAAGTAGCTGTTAGAAACGGCAACCCAACATGACACGTTTCAAAGTTAAGGCGGCACGTTGCAATCTTGTAGAGGCGACATTTTAAGACGTTTTTGATAAGGATGAGGGGATCTTCTTTCCTCACGAAACTCTCATTTACCGCAAAATAGTATAATACTGTTTTGGAAATACTGAAAAGAAGCCCGAGTAAAACGGCAAGAAAAAAATCGACAGACTGGTTTGAGCGGAACTTCATCGAGATGACCAACGCTCAATTTGTTGCCTTTTCTTTGAATAAGAGCAAACACTCATCTTCTTCAACGCTTGATCAAATATCACGTTTCCCTTCTGATGGTGTTCCCACTATAAAAAGACCCAAAAAGCAAACAAAAAGCCGTAGATAACAAATACAGGAAACTAAAAACTGTTATAAGTTGTAAACATTTTTTCCCTCCAGTTCGCGCGAAAATTTTCCCAGTTAACAGTTTAAAATAACGCACGCCTCCTCCGCGTATGCATCTAAATAGGACGCAAAGCAGCAAAGGTCACCTTTGCTGTTTCAGTAGCCTCCTGACTAATGGAAACCTAATGGTCAAAACCTTAGGCTAATTATTTTCTTCCACCTTCATTTCGAGGTCTCAAGTCTTCGAATACAAGTGTCCGTATATACTTGTCGTTCATTTGGATAGTAACGTAATCCATATGTCGCACGCGTTAAATTCGAAAAAAACATTTCAAATTTGATTCTAAACATGTCAACATAAAATTAAAAGAAAATTATGATAGATACTGAACCTTTTAAATACATTCAAATATATTTAAAAGGTTCATTATCTATCATAATTTTTCATACCAAAGTTTACTTGATTGCGCGGAATTTTCCGTTGAATGAAAATTCACAACGTTGTTTTCTCTGAAATACGCAACGTTAACTATAAGCAGAGAGACAAGCGCATCACTTATCTCTCTTTTTTTAAACTAGATTTTAATGAATGTGGAAGTAAGACATACAGCTGTCATGCATTTGCCACATGTGTCAATGAACTTGGATCCTATTCATGCAAGTGTAAAAGTGGCTACATTGGAAATGGACTGAACTGTCGTCGAGTCCCAATATCCTGCGCTGATATCAAAACGTACGTCAGCGGCGTCAGCAGAAACTACGTGATTGATCCAGATGGCGAGGGAGGTCTGGCACCATTCACAGCGTACTGTGACATGACTGACAAAAAGGGTGTTGGCGTGACAGTTATCAGTCACGACAGTGAGAGCAGAACTGTTGTGAATGGATATGAAGACAGAGGTAGTTACGTACGTAACGTTCATTACACAGGAGCAAGTCTGTCTCAGCTGGCGAGTCTGACCAGAGTCTCTTCGCACTGTGAACAGTTTATAAAGTACGAGTGTTATCACTCCGGTTTGTGGTTTAACAGTCCATACGGATGGTGGGTGTCACGTGATTCTGAGAAGATGACGTACTGGGGAGGGGCAGCACCCGGTAGTGGTAAGTGCGCATGCGGTATGACTAACTCCTGCGGTACCTGTAACTGTGACAGGAATGACCAAGTATGGCGAGAGGACAGCGGTCTCCTGACTGAGAAGACAAAGCTTCCAGTGAAGCAGCTCAGGTTTGGGGATACCGGCGATAGCAAAACTGGCGAGAGGGGCTAACACACCCTGGGAAAATTAAAGTGCTACGGCACAGCATAAAGTCGTATTGACTACAATAGAAATGCAAGCCTGTCATAAATTAATCAGAGGTATTTTTAGTTCAATCGCATGTGATTGTAGTATTACGATTTTGAATCAGCATTTAAGGGTCAAAAAATGTAATAGAACCTTCCAAACTATTGTTGAGGAACAGTAGCATTAAATCAGGCATTTGCGTTTAAGACTTGGCTCATTCCCTTAACTGACTGAAACTAAATAGCTGTTAAAAACTAAAGCCCTAGGGAGAGCACTTAAACATACCGCTGTTGCTTCACGCGCAGCCTTACGGGTAGCTTTTGTTTGGCGGTTGCTTAGTTTTGTTGATAAAATTTACCAACGAAATGTACCATGCCCATCCAGCAACCCCCTGGGCAATGCAACTTTTTTAAAAAGAATTTAAATGTTAAAAATTCCCATCCCGCGGGGCCAAAATTGGTGTTAAATTGCTCCGCGAAAAAAGGAAAACACCGTGAGTAAACCTGCATCACTGTATCTGTATCGATATGATCTTTGCTGAGCATGCGCTGCACGTTGCTCCAGTTCCAGGCCTTTCACCGGCGAAAAATGTCTGCGCATGCTCTGCAAAAAAAAGGCACGTGATCGATTTTGGGCAATGTCATTGGCTCCGAGGCGAAAAAGCCCGCGAAATGTTGCTCAGATGAAAGAAGCGATGGCAGCCTTTTTTGGCAGTGACAGCGTTGCAATTTCTTGCCACTGTGAGAGATCAAAAATTATTTTGGTCAAAGTTTGACGTAAGTGTGTTCTCTAGAGAATATAGCGTCCTGAAACTGGCGAAAAATCGCATTGGCGTGGTCTGATTCAGTGTTATTGACGTTGAGATCGCTGGTTTGCATGTGGAAGACGTGCCGAAAAGGTGAGTAACTTTTGCTCTTTTTGTTTACTGCATGTTCCGTGCAACTCGGTACAAAAAGAAATTATAAAGTAGTGGAAGAAAAATTATTGGGCTTTGTTTTGGTATATAAATTAGCTTGTACCGAGTTGCACGGAAGCGAAAATGTGTATCCCGTTTTTGTGTCAAAATTCGACTTTGATTGTGAATCTAACATTCGATGACATTCGACCGTTGATCGAAGAGCGTATTACAATGCTATCCCAAATGTTTTTGTTGTTTAGATCAAGTTTCTTATCACGGATTCAACAAAAAAGTAGAGGGACAGACTTTTCGGACTTTGTTTTGTTAATGTGACTTAGCGTGTACTTTGTTGCTGGAAAACTATATTTAGGTGCTTAATCTCCGCATGTTTACACTGTTTATGGCAGAAAAATACGCTTACGCTTGGTTCAACTTAATCTCGTGTCACTCGGTACAAAGGGAATTATAAAGAAGGTAAAGAATTACTCTTAGCCATTGTCTTGGTGTGTAAATTGTCTTGTAGCTAGTGAATCGAAAGCTAAAGTGCGTAGCTCGAAACGAGATTTTGTCCATCGTTCCACATTTCGTTGTTGTTGTACATTAGAACAGCGTTGTATGTTACAGAAATTTGAGTTTTACCCGAACTGTCGAATGAGAAAATGTGAGAGCGCTTTCATTAAAACGCTAATAATACTGTCTTGGAGCTACAGTTCGATAGGTCCAGGAACATTTGATTTGTAAAAATATTCTGTTTACAATGTGTACAGATGCTGTACATTTAGGCTTGCAATTTTATAATTGAAGGATGGAAGTTTAGATTATTTTACTCATAAACTTGGCTTGGGATTATCCACAACGAGGTCCTTGTTACTTTCCGCGTTAGGAACTGTACTTACGGAGATGATTTCGCCCGTGTACAATTTTTTACTACCAAATCTTTGGTCACAAGGCTTTCTGTGGGGGGTGCTTCTTTGCTTAAAAATAGGATACTGGAAGGAGATGAACAGGGTAATTTTCCTGTGAATTCTCTTGTTTTTCTGTGCATTGTTTTTGGCTTAAAGTTTTTTGGAGCAAAGTTATGAATGAATAACAGAGTTAACATGCTACTAAGTATTCAAAAGTTCTTTCCAAGAAAAAAAAATAATCAGGAGTTTAAAGTTTGGAGTAAACTTTGGAGTAAACTTTGAGTCTTAATGAAATTTTAGTTGGATCATGTTGGTGAATGCAGTTGTGTAGGATACGCAGTTTCCAATTTTGATCTTCTGTCAGAATTATGAGAGAACACTCAAATACAGATCTCATTCAAACTTTATAGTTTCCTTATTGTTATCGTTTGTTTCTATTCCTATAAACTTATCATCAGGTCTACAGTTTGCATGAATTTTATGTGATATATATTTGAAGTGGTTGTTGTTTCACAGTGAAGTAGTTTTCACTTTGTTTTTTTGATATGAAGTTGAGTTTCTTCTTAGTTGTTGACTAAGGCAGTGTTGAAGTATCTGACATGTTAACATACTTTATTGTTCATTTCTCTTCAGAAAAGATTGATTGATCCTGAATCAAACAAAGTGTAGCCTCACAAACAAGATTTTTGACGAACAAATGTGTACTCAAGCAAAGCATATGCCCCTGACAGTGTCAATAAAATTTATTAATGGAAAGATCTGGGTTTTTACTCCTTTGTGGCACATTTGACTACGCATCACTTTTCTAACCTATATACTAAAAAGATATAATCAGTATTTTTTCCAACTAATATATTTGCAATAAAAGTTCTTTTCTTTTATATATAGTATTCCCCTAATTTTAAAAATGTCATTATATTATTCAGATCAAGCACAGTAACCATTGAAAAGAGAAAAAAACCTGCGTGGTCACAGACGGCTTTAAAGTTTTGATATTAAAATTGCACCCGTTCGCAATGAAAAGATCATGAATGCAGACTCTACAGTTCATTTAGCTCTTGTCCAAGCCATTTTTTTTATAAATTAGATAGTCTTGCTGGAGAAAACATAATTTTGCTTTATCTTTTCGGTAAAAAAAAAATAATAATAAAATAACTTTCAGGTGTCTAAGCAATTTCAAAGGACCCATAGTGTCTTATTTCTCCGGGTGCATTGAGCTGTGAACAAAGGCCGTTCTTTCTAGTGACCCGGCTTTTATCAGAAATATTGTTGTCCTTCGTGATACAAGTCCAAAGTTGAATCCGGTAAACGGGCCAAAACGCGAGCATCGCAGGGACGAATCCCATAGGAATAGGTGAAAAAGGATAGTAAAAAGTCCAGGCCGTTCTAAAATATCCGTATATGCATTTGCAACTCATATATAAGCCGCAATTAATCTTCTTTCCACTGGAATAAACAAACGATGGAGGTATTGCCGCCATTTTGAATTTGGCAATGTCACTTGGTCGCGCGTCGACCAATCAGACATTTTTCGTCGGTGAATTCCAGGCCTTAAAGTCGTGTGCTTGGTACAGTGGGCTCAGTTTTGACCATCGGTTTATTAACAGACGGATGCTCGCACTCGAAAAAAGCTAGTTTGACAAGACAATACAAGATTGACTGGTCCAAAAGTTCGGGCTGCGGCGACTTCGAAAGCTTGCCGTGATTCAGGCAGAACCTCATTTTCTGCTCCTCCTTTTCTCCCTACTCGCAGGGTGAAAACCCGGGTAATACGAAAAAAATCTCGCGCACTGAACTGGTAAGGTCTTATGTTCATGATATAATTCTCCCTCCTCACCAGTGATGAATCAGCCTCTTTTAATTTAACTCTTCTACAATAAAATAGACGAGCCAGGAACACCACCGCAACAATAGCAACCAATTTGCGTGATGGCGTTTGATTGAGAAAAGGTACAAGAACACGCTTTCACAAGATCATCATCTTTTGAATAACTTCTCAACACAAGAGTAAAATGCCAAGATCTAAAAGTTTCTTCATCGTTAGGAAAGGCTGTTAAGCGGGCTAGATTTGAAAATAAATAATCAAAAGCAAAACGTTTTGCGTCCGATGATAGAAATAGAGTAAATATAACTTGTCTTCACTAATTTTCCCTGGAAGCACAACCTATATTTAATCCGTCATGAGGATGACTTAGCTGACTTGAGGAGAAAAACGGTGAAGTTACCCTTGGAACGCCATTATGCTGAAAGGATAGAAGAAAATAAGGAGAGTATAAGGATAATAGAGTGAGTACAACACGAGGCACAGGGACTAGAAATCAAAGAAGCCCTGTACTCTCCTTTTTACAAGACAACAATGAAAACGTTAACAAATATTCCAGTGATGTTAAAAAGTACTTTCCAACTGGACTGGAGCTTTGCGTTTGTCTTTGGCCACGAATGAAGACGACAAAAAAAATTGAGCTACCAAATTACCGCTGTGAATATGAAAAAATCACTAAAAGTAAACTTTTGGCTTTCCTTCCACGTAATTACCCCAAAATACAGCTCTTCACGCTGTGGGAACCCTTTGCGTTAAACGAAAAGTACTTCCTAATAATATATTCTACTCTTACAAGACAACAATGTAAACCTTAACAATATTCCAGTGATGTTAAAAAGTACTTTTTGCCCTGTTTTTGCCAGACTCGTTTGGAGCCAAATGTTTTCATCAAGCTGGGTCGATAGACTCTGATGACTTACGCCAAGTCTAAGGCCTAAATGAGTAAAAGTAATTTCGATCGACGCTAACTAGCTAACCTTAGATAATAGAGTGGACTGGTTTTGAAACCCATCAGACTCCTTTGTTATATGTTTTGGTGGAACTGATGGTGCACAACGTTCAATGGCATTCATTTGCATCTTCTTGACCAATAAAAACGTCGCATTAATTTATTCAGTCACAATTTTTAAACAGAAAGCAAAGGATTGTGCACCGTCAGGGAGCTTCCAACAGCAACTGCAGCACTTTATTTTTGATGTTTGCCGCCTTTCATATCCAGTCTTCTCTACGAACTATGAGCTAACGCACTGAATCCTCCGAGTCAATTTTTCTGACAGGCCAATTTCATGTCAGCTTCAGGAAGGAATACCAAGGATTGACCATTTCAATTGTTTCATGTTGAACGCTCAGAAGGAGGCTT